CTCGCCAAGTTGCCCAGGTGGGTCTCGAACCCGCGGGCTCAGGTCATCCACTCACCTCAGCCTCCCAAGGCGCGGGATTACAGGCTGAGCCACCGAGCCCGGCTAAGAGTTCTTTTCATTTCCCTAGTTTAGAAATATAGATTGAACATCCTGAATACAAAAATCCAAAATCTGAAACGCTCCAAAATCTGACACTTTTTGAGTGCTGACATGACACTCAAGGGAAACGCTCTTTGGAACTTTTCCGATTTCAGATTTGGGATTCTCAACCAGCAAGTAGAATGCAAATATTCCAAAACCAAAAAAAAATCTGAAATTCGAAACACTTCTGTTCCCAAGCATTTCAGATGAGGGATACACAAGCTGCATTTGAACTGTTTCTGATTTTAGTTTTCACACAAGCAGGAATAAATGAAAAACTGTATTCTAATAGACTTTCCTATGTATATAAACTTTTCCTTCAATGTCTGTGACTATACAGGGAATAATAGACTCTAAAACATCATAAGATAGAGAGAAGCCTTTCCTTAGGAGGTAGTGACACATCAACAATTGGCCCTTTTCCCCCAGCCGGTTAGTTGTATTTCTCTGCAGAAATGTTATTCTGGGGTAAGAAGGGTACCCGTTCTGTGTACAATGTTCGATCACTTGCCCTGCTCTCCCTGAGTTTCTCATTCCTGCCATTCTCCACACCTGTGACTCCCAGCCTAGGGCCATTCCTGGCTCGTTTTTGGCAACTTGGCTTTCTTCCCTGCTTGCAACCCCTGTCTTTTTCATGGCTTTCTCTGATGCCTGTGAGATCTGCTGGGGATCCTTTGGAAATGTTTTGAAAGTCTTTGCTGAGGGCTTGTCTCTCATTCTTTTAATTGTTCTGGGCTCCTAGTAAGCAAATCCTTTTCCTACGTTGTGGAAGGGAGGACTCTGAATGTGTGTGCTCCAGCTCGCTCCTCCCTTCACATTCAAGGCCGATAAGAATCATGTTCAGACAGCCCTTGTGCTGTGTCCCTCTCTGCTCTGCATGTGGTCTAAGTTCCAGGTTGGACCCCTTCACCGCTTATATTGCAGTATTTCTGACATTTTCTGTGTGTTGCCTGTTAATGTCTTTGTCTTTTTTTTTTCTTTCCCAAATCCATTCTTCAGATCTTTCACCATTTTCACTGGAAGATCTTTCCTGATCGTTACAAAAAAATTGTAATATTCATTTAAAAATTTATTTTTTGTGAACCCATGTAGTATTTAATTTTCTTTTTTTTCTGAATGGGAGTCTCACTCTGTCGCCCAGACTGGAGTGCAGTGGCACACTGATGGCTACCTTAGTGTTGACCTCCTGGGCTCTGGTGATCCTTCTGCCTCAGCCTTCCAAGTAGCTGGAACTGCAGGCATGGGCCACCACACCCAGGTAATTTTGATTTATTGTAGAGACGAGGTCTTGCCAAGTTGCCCGGGCTGATCTCGAACCCATGGGCTCAGGCGCCTCGGCCTCCCAAAGTGCTGGGATTGTAGCCTGAGACACTGAGATCAGTATTTAATTTTTTAAATGCAGTTTATCTTCCAGTTTGTATCAGATGATAACTCCTTTAGGGTAGAGACTTTTGTAGATCCAGATATGTGGCAGTGCTTCGCATTCTGCCTTATACATTGGTGGTATTTTGTGAGTTTTTATTTTCTGATATTTCCTCTGTCTGCACAGGTCTGTACTGCCTGGCCTGTGGCAGGATTTCCTGGAGGCAAGATTGGCCTGAGCGAAATGGCACAGAAGAATGTGGGTGTGAAGGTTGGTGATGCTATCCAGGTCCAGCCTCTTGCGGGTGCTGTGCTGCAGGCTGAGGCAGTGGACGTGGCACTGAGGTTTGGCTCTTTTTTTGATGACTGTCTGGGTCAATGCATAGAAATACATAAAGATGTATAACAAGGGCCATAGATATGAAGCACATGTATAATTTTGCATTTTCTAGCAGTCACATTTGAATAGTAAAGAGAAACAGGCGAAATGAATTGTGATAGTCTGTTTTATTTAACCAGTATGTGTAAGAGTATATTTTAACATACAATTATAAAAATTACTGGTCAGATGCTTTCCATCCTTTTCTTCCAACTGAGTCTTTGGAATCCGGCGTGTATGCTCTAGTTGTGGCACATCACAGTTTGGGCTAGTCACATTTGCCGTGCTCAGCCCCGTGGGTCACCGACTGGTGGCAGCTTGTGTTGTGCTGGCCAACACAAGCAAGATGGATCCTGTGAAGTTTAAGACGAGGCCTGCTCTCATTTCTTGTGACTGGAGTATTCTCTGACGTTTTACACTGGTGAATATTTAGCAGTGTTTTTCATCTTGGCTTTTCGTCAGGGCTTCTTGTCATTTTTTTTTTTTTTTTTTTTTTTTCTGAGGTGGTCTCACTCTGTGCCCGGGCTGGAGTGCAGTGGCACGCTCACAGCCACCACAGCCTCGCCAAGTGGCCTGGGCTAGTCTTGAACCCTTGGGCTCAGGCAGTCTTCTCACCTCGGCCTCTCAAGTGCTAGGATTATAGGCATGAGCTACTGCGCCTTGTCCTTCTTGTCTTTCTTATGGTTGTAAAGAAAGGAGTAGATTACGAGGCGTTATGAGGAGTAGGCAAGGAACCAGTTTTAGTGAAGGCTGCCCAAGCAAAGAGCTTGATTGTATATTTTACTCCTTGATTATTCAATCTAGTAAAAATATGGTCATTACGATCAGATTTTTAAATAGTCCCTGACCAAAAGCTAATTTATAATTACCCTGCCAATACAGTTAAAGTGTTTCGTCCATCTTGTTGGATATTCTTTATCTCATAGGATTTTGACTCAGTTTGTATATACAAGTCTTATCAAAAGTCGTGTTTTAAAGAGCCTCTTTTGGCAGGTGTGGTGGCTTACACCTGTAATCCCAGTGCTATGGGAGACTGAGACAGGAGGATTGCTTAAGCCCAGGAGTTTGAGGCTTTAGTGAGCCACGATTGTGCCACTGCACTCCAGCCTGGGTGACAGTGAGACCCTGTTTCAAAGAAGAAAAATTAAAAAAAGCATCTTTTGATACTTTAATAGCAACTTACTAACAAATTGGGGCATATGTTTGTGTTATATGCAAGAATAACAAAAAATTTTCTAGTCATATGCTTATTCTCTTATACTATTTTTGTAGATTCCAAGCTTGAGTTTTCGCATATCTTTTTACTTTAAAAACAGGAAAATGCCGGGTTCGGTGGCTCAGTCTGTAATCCCGCGCCTTTGGGAGGCTGAGGTGAGTGGATTGCCTGAGCCCGCGGGTTCGAGACCCGCCTGGGCAGCAAGACCTCATCTCTATAATAAATCAAAAAATCAGCCGGGCGTGGTAGCGCATGCCTGTAATTCCGGCTACTCGGAAGGCTGAGGCGGAAGGATCGCCGGAGCCCAGCAGGTCAAGGCTGCGGTGGCCGGAAGCGGCCACTGCACTCCAGTCTGGGTGACAGAGTGAGACTCCAACTCAAAAAATAAAAAATAAAAACAGGAAAATGTTTTCAGAGCATTTAATAGTTTAGTGAATGATAAAAAGCTGAGCAGAAAAGAGAAGACAGTGTGTTGAGCATGATCTGTCTACCAGATGCTTTGCATACATTGCACACATGGACACACACATGGTTTCCCCTTTTTTCCTCTCATTTAACCCTTCAGCAGCCTGCAAGATACCCTTATTTATTTATTTTTAACAGATGAGGAAACAGGCTTAGTGAGCTTAATATTTTGTGTGCTAGTTAATAGTACTGCTCAGATTCAACCAAATCAGTCCTCAGACTATATCTTAAAACAGTTTTACAGGTAGCAGAATTCATATTTATGATGATAATGAACAGGTTTGTCCTCTTGAGGGCACCACAGCCTTGGCTTGCTTATGATAGAGGACTGTATACGTTTTAGATGAAAGCCTGGTTGTTAAAATTTTATTTTTGAAAAGTATTATGTTTTAAATGTCATAGCAGAGTGTAGGCAAGAAAGTCAGTTTTCAGTTATCAAAACCAGTAATTTTAATCTGCTTAAATCCTTCAGGTCCAACTGAAAAATTTCATTAGCAGTGCTAGAGCTCCTCCTAGCGGAAATGATTTTATTTGCACCCATTCTTTTCAAAAAGCAAAACTTAACTGTTTTTAGTATTCTCATGCATGTTTGTATATTTTAGTCCAAGTTTAATAAATAAAAGCAATTTAAGTATACCTTGATTCAGAGTTCTATAGACAATTAATTGGAGCATTTAAGGAGATACATATGGTTTCCTTATTAGTTTATACAAGTTTTTCATTCATGAAATGTCCTCCTCATTCTATTTCTTTCTTGCTCTTTCTTTTATATGAGCATATAGTTAATTCTCTTTATTTGTGGTAGTTATGTTTTATTAGTATTGCCTTGGACAGTGGTAGCAAATACTGAACCATTTTTCCTACAGATAAATGGGATATGTGTGTGTGTGTGTGTGTGTGTGTTTATGTGTATGTGTGTGTAAATATGTATCTATTTTACATACATTATAATCTCAAATCCTAAAAATAACTCATTCTGGTAGATTCTATTTGCCTTGTTTTAAGAGAGAGGAGGCGGCTCAAAGTGTTAAGGGACTTGCTTGCGGCTGTGTGTGTACAGGGGCTGGAGCTGGGATGCAAACCCCTTCCACCTGGCCCCGGCCGAGCTTCCTGTACTCCTCGGCCTTGGCCCCACGACTTCCAGGCTCTGCTCATCTCAGTGGGATCCGAAACAAGTGGCACAGCACCACCGTGCCCCCATCAGCTGGGAGGGGTGCGGAGTCACCCCAGTTTTTGCCGCTCTTTCATGCCACTGATGACCTCAGATACTCTGAGGATTGACTTGGGGGTACAAGTACATTTTTGGGAGTAGGTGGGTTTGAAAATGCAGCCTCCTCAGAAAATGAGGGTTGGCTGTGCTGTATTATGACTGATGAAAATGATAGGAGAACAAGGCTTAGAATTTGGCCAGATAGCTTGCCGATGTGCTCCCCCCTGAGCTAAACTGTCCCCTCTGCTGGTCACTTGCCCAGTTGGACAACTGTCTCCTCTCCAGACGCAGGCCGCTTACATCACACAGGAGGAAGAAAAATGCTCATGTTCTGGGAACTCTCCAAGAGCAGGTTTCCTTACAGGTGCAGCACTGTTTAGGCGTTCCCACTTTCTGCGCTTTGACGAGCTCTTCTCCTAGAAGACACAGTTGTGACTAGGGGCAAGGAGATCTCAGTTTTTTCCAGGCATACCTTTTCTCCAGAATACATCTTCACTGGAACCAGTACTCCATTTTCCTCTGGCTTCTTTGGGTAACATACTCTGCAGGATTTAGTTTTCTTGAAGAGGTGCTTTTTGCTATGCTAAAGGAACGAGGAAAGCTTTTAATGAAAATTTTTTCCAAGTGAGGCAAGTTCATAAAGGAGATTGTCAGTTTAGGTCAGTGTTTTTCAAAAGTTTCACATTTTCACAGCGATTCATTGTCTACACACACCCCTAGAAATGGTGCACATACGCATGCATGTATGTGTATGTATGTGTGAGACATGGATGTTTTACAAAGCAATATTTACCCTTTCTGTGTGCATAGTACTTTACATTGCTTACTCTGCTAAAAAAAATACTGGGTGGGACTGACCTAAATTCATGACCCACTAATGGATAATACAATATGTTTTGAAGAACACTGATTTAGGTCTTCAGGGCTATAAGGAGTATCTGAAAAATGTGAATTATGTCATTTCATACCGCAGTTTAGTTTCTGGTGTACCTAATGCTGATTCCCCCCCCCATCCCTTTTACAGTGACAAAGATACGGAAGTTAATGAAGAAGAACTGACTGATTGTATCCTGAGAAAACTAGGTGAGGCAAACATTTAACATTTAAAAAGTACCAGAGCAGCATTAAATAAAGTGTCTTTGAGGTCTTGTATATGTAGTAGTTTTCTTCAGGATAGCTTAGAGAGTATCCCCCTCAGTGAATCAATATCCTTTTGAGATAAGGATGTGTTACTTTTCCCAATTAACTGATTGACAGTTGGGCAGTGGAGAGAATGTACGATTTGCTTACAGACAAAGTCTGTGATAGAACTGAGACTTTTTAAACCTTTCACTCTTGCTCTTTCCAGTCAGAAACACCGTTGAATGTTGGCTTAGGTGTGTCATTTTCATTTAGTTTTTAATCAAATGTGGAATGACTGGCTGTTGATAGGCTGATAGAATCTTTGATCTGTTGAGTGTAGAGGGCTTCAAGGAACCATCTTGTGCATCTGTCTCGGATAATGCTGTATTTCTATTATGGGGAATATTTCATGACAGTTACTTAATACTTCACTTTTAATTTAAATTTTTTCAGTCAAATAGTTTTGTTAATAAATGAGATGAGGTGCTATTTAAACGTTAAATAGTGAAAAATGGTGCTAACATGTATATTTAATAAATTATTTTCTAGATAGCAAGATTGTTTTACCAGGCAACTTTCTGTATTGCACATTCTATGGACGACCATGCAAGTTGCAAGTGTTGCAAGTGAAAGGGGCAGATGGCATGATATCGAGAGGCCCTCCCAGTGACTCTGACACTGATGCCCAGGGAGTGGCCTCTGACCAGTCCAGTGTGGAAACCAGTAGCCTGGATTTATCCTTGCAGCTAAGCCAGCTAGATCTGGAAGAGCCACGGAACCCAGCCTCAAGAAGTACTCCTTGTAAACCCGTCGATGACAGAAGCATAAATGAAGCTAGTGATGTTTTGTTGGATGTTACACAGAGCCCCGGGCATGGCAGTGGACTTGGGCTAGAGGAAGTCAAAGATCTTAAATGTAGTTTTGAGTCTGCCAGAGAAGGGAGCGAACAACTTATCAATGAAGAAAGACTGCTAAAATCCACAACCAGCTTGGGAGCAAAGCGCAATACTGATACTTTTTATTTTATTTCTTCAACAACAAGAGTCAATTTTACAAAGATTCATAAAAATTCAAAAGAGCAAGACAACCAGTTCAGAGTAACTTATGACATGATAGGAGGTTTAAATAGCCAGCTGAAAGCAATCAGAGAAGTAATTGAGTTGCCTCTCAAACAGCCTGAACTTTTCAAGAGTTATGGTATGATTTCTTTGGTCTTTTGCACCCAAAAGCATTAAGTTCAAACTCGAGTACAGTTGACTGATTCCACGTATTTAATGATTCCTCACCCTCTTTTCCTGTTTATTCCTTGAATGGTGGGTGTGGTGGAAGGTGCCAGTTGCTTTGGGAGATGCCAGTTAGAGAAGCCATTTTCTGTGCTTTGGTCTCGTTAGGTTTGATGTGAGCGCCAGCCTTGTTCCTTCCAATAGCGTGTTTCCATAGTTGTTGGTGTTGGCAGCTGTATCTTAAGTGTCTTGTCCTGCCAGGTCTGCTGAGATGATTAAAGAAGTAAAGCTGGATAAGACAAATTCGTTAGGAAATGTAGCTGAGCACCAGGGCCAGGCACCATGGCTCATGTCTATAATCCCAGTACTTTGGGAGGCCGAGGTGTGAGAGTTGCCTGAGCCCCCACAGTTTCGAGACCAGCCTGGGCAACATTCTAAGACCTCATCTCTACAATAATCTGCCGGGCTCGGTGACACATCCTGTAATCCCAGAACTTTAGGAGGACAAGGCGAGTGGATTGCCTGAGCCTACGGGTTCAAGACCCACCCGGGCAACTTTGCGAGACCTCATCTCTACAATAAATCAAACATTAGCCAGGCGTGGTACTGCATGCCTGTAGTTCTGGCTACTTGGAAGGCTGAGGCGGAAGGATCACCGGAGCCCAGCAGTTCGAAGCTGAGGTGGCTGGGAGTGTGCTACTGCACTTCAGTCTGGGTGACAGAGTGAGACTGCAACTCAAAAAAAAAAAAAATTACCCAGGCATGGTGGCGCATGCCTGTAATTCCAGCTACTTGGAAGGCTGAGGTGGAAGGATCACCTGAGCTCTGTAGGTTGCTGCGGTGACCGTGAGTGTGCCATTGCATTCCAGCCCGGGGAACAGAGTGAGACTCCAATTCAAAAAAAACAAGAATGAAACGTAACTGTGCGCTCATCCTCTTTTTTGCACTTCAGTGAGTAGTCCAGGGGCTTCTCCTGCCTCCTAAGAAACTCGGCATTCTGCTGAGTTGTTATTGCCCACATCCTTTGTGATTATTTGGTACATACTATCTTCTGCTTTTTCCTTTTGGGTGAATATTTATGAAATGAGTCATTGGATTGACATTTGTTAGTAACATATACTTCTCAAGATGGCGAGTTGGAAGAAAATTGGGATTGGTGGATATTTTTGTCTGGGCATTGTGTTGAACTTTGCTGTGGGAGATGATGCACGGTAGACTTCCTGTCCTGTATTGAACATGTGATAGTGCTACCATGTGGCAACAATGTGAGCCTCCAGTTTTTTTTTTTAGCCAACTTGCTTCTCTCAGGTTGTGGTCTACAGAGAAATGCAAAGTCACTGATGGGATCAGTGTTGGGACTGTAGTGCATGTTTCTGGGGGGTGAGAAAAAAGAAGGTCTCACTCTTTGTGATGCAAAGTAGATTTATATTTTATAGCTCATGTTGGAACTGGTATGTCAACATTTATAAGAAACCTAGTAATACTGAGTCCAGTGTTCTCCTTCTTTTCTCCTAGGAATTCCTGCCCCGAGAGGAGTGCTACTTTATGGCCCTCCAGGTACTGGAAAGACAATGATTGCTAGGGCTGTTGCTAATGAAGTTGGAGCCCATGTTTCTGTAATCAATGGCCCTGAAATTATAAGCAAGTAGGTGCATGCTTTACTAGAGCAAACTTAATATTGTTAAATATATTTCTAAAATGTGGTTTTAAAAAATGGCTGGTGTGCTGTCTGTATAGTTCATTTGTTGAGATATATTGTCTACTCTTTAGTATGTTTAAAAATTGTTTGGAAAATAATTTTTGAAAGTAATTTTAAGTCTTCTAGAAACATTTGGAAAGTCAGATTACCATTGTAGACAAAGCTTTAAAAATAATAAGAAATAGACCAGGTGCAGTGGCTCACGCCTATAATCCCAGCACTTTGAGAAGCCGAGGTGAGAGGACTGCCTGAGCCCACAAGTTCAACACCAGCCTGGGTAACTTGGCAAGACCTCATCTCTGCAATAAATCAAAAAACTAGCTGGGCGTGGTGGTGTGCACCTATAGTTCCAGCTACTTGGATGGCTGAGGTGGAAGGATTGCCTGAGCCAGCAGGTCGAGGCTGTGGTGGCCATGAGCATGCCACTGCACTCCAGCCTGGGCAACAGAGTGAGACTGACTCAAAAAAAAGAAATGATCCTTAAGTGTCTTTTGTTTGTTATAGATTCTATGGTGAGACGGAAGCAAGATTACGTCAGATATTTGCTGAAGCCACTCTACGGTACTCTTTATTTTTAAGTGTTTTAGAATTAATAGTCAAGGCTGTATTAATTAAAATGAGATATTAGCACTTTTTACAAAGCATAAAGAATAGTACAAAAATAATAGTGATAGCACTAGAAATAGATTGTAGATCTAGTTAAATTCTGTCGAATCCATTTCTGTCTAATGTTACTTTCAAAGTTTGACAAATGAGTTGTTCAGTTACACGAAGAAGAATTAAGACTGTTGTTTGATAAGTCGTGATCTTGCTTGAGCATATAAATATATGACTTTGTTTTGTTAGGGTGCTCAGGTGTATCCAGTTTATTCAGCTTCCCTAATAAACTGTATTATCATAGCCCTTTATGCTTAACACTTTGTTAGACTATACTTTGCTTCAAAGAAACAATTCTTTTACCCACTAAAAACTATTCTTATTGATTATTCCTGAGTTTAGGCCGCTGTAATGAGTATTCGAGAATGGTCTATAACTTTGTCTGGTATAATATTATTCAGAATATGGCCATGTCTATCATTGCTTTGGCAGTCAACTGTCACAGGCCACATGGCTGCCTTGAGGGTCCCAAGAGAGAAGGACGAGAGAGTGAGACAGACATACAAAGACATAAAGAAGAGCTGGGGCCAGGTGGGACACTTTCCTCTGATGGAGGAGAAGTGGCCCCAAACTAGCTCAGCATGTTTATGTTATAATCAAACACAAAGGGAGTTGGGGGGGGTTTCAGGGGCTGTGAGGGAGCTATAAGGGAATTTCGTTGCTACCTAAATGGCAAGCTCTTCTGTGGTTGTCTTGTTGTTGCTAAGGCGTTCTCTGTACTGTTTGCACCTGGATGTGTGGGGCTTTGAGATGCCGTTCCGTGCAGCAGGCTGCATCCCTTGCTCTCTGGCTAGGGTGCAGAGCAACCATGTGGGGCCTTGCCTTCGCTTGGAGCCTTGCTTTTGCTCGAGGCCTGCTGTCCGGACAGCGCTCATCTGCTCCTCACAGTTAGCACCATAATTACTGCTGTTTAATTGAAAGAACTGTTGTTTTTAAAGTTACTTTCCCCCAGTGATAAAAGATGAAAAAAGTAGTTTCTAGTGCCAAATCTTTATAGTGCCCTGAAAACTTGAGAACCAGTGATGTACTTTATGCTTAGTATTTTATTGTTGTTGTGTTCGTGCACTTGAGGTTTCCTTTTGTGAGAGAATTTACATTCATTTATGGGAGAATCGATCATCTTGCAAGTTCTGTTTTTTAATAGGTTGAAAAAACAGGGCATTTCTAGTTTATGTTCTTTGGGCTATGTACCTGCTGTAAGCGACAGTATCCGGCCTCAGCGGTCATAACAATTTAGTGGGCATTGGTGGGCATTGGTGGGCATTGGTGGGGGAGTCCTGCCAGAGCAGGACTCCTGAGCACTAGACTCAGCGCTCTGCCTATTGAGGGAGGGCAGGTAGATTAAACTGTGAGGCCAGTGAGTTGGTCATTTGGGCTGCAGCCAATCTGAGGGTTTTAGTTTAACGTTCTGAGGCCTTTGTAGTGTCACTAAGTTGAATTCTAAATTTGGTGTGTTGATTTTATTTAAAAAGCTGAAGCTAAGTGAACTTTGTTAAGCATAGGGTGGAGATTTCATTTTGCTTGTTTGTTTTTAGGCACCCATCCATTATTTTCATCGATGAACTGGATGCGCTTTGTCCTAAAAGAGAAGGGGCCCAGAACGAAGTGGAAAAAAGAGTTGTAGCATCACTCTTGACACTGATGGATGGCATTGGTTCTGTAAGTATAGCACTAGCACTGATTTTGTGTAGGAAGGGGTTGATTCTTAATAATATATATGTAGTAGCAAAACTATCAAAAGTGCTGGAGTCTTTGGTTATTTCAAGTTAAGGGACAAATGTTAGCCATACTGTCTAGAGGAAAGACTCATAAAAGAATTTGCTTTAGTGGATTACTAATTGCCAGGATGACATCATCACCTGGTAAGTTTTTCTAGCATGTAAAATTTTCTAGCATGTAAAATAAGTTTTTCTTAGCACGCGATGGATATTTCTCTTGTTATAAATGCTGTTAACTTAAAAACCAGAAGGAAAAACTTGTGAGGAAGATTCAGCAGTTGAATTTTAGGAGATTTCTTTAAGAAATCTCATGAGTAAGTCTTACTACTCATGTAAAAGTTGATTCTTTCAAGGCTTTGTGCTAGGCAAATGAAAGAAAGTGAGAGCAGTGGTAACTATGTTTGTACAACATTTAAGAGGGATTTTCTCGTATGAACAGATTCTCTGATAGGGCATGCCTTCCTGTATTAACAAAAACCGTGTGCTAATTATGAAAGAAAAATCCGTAGGACTGATGAGAGAATAGGAATGAAGAAAAATTCTCTCAGACTCCTGGTATCCAGTAACCAGGAAAAATACACTTTTTTGGTTATGCTGGATTGTAAATAATTAAATTTTAAAACTATGGTATGTTAGAACCAAAATAAATTTTAGAAATCATTTACTCTCAAGCCCCTTTTGCACACTAAAAAAACGATGTGAAGAACTTTTTTTTTTACTGCCTGTTGGTAGAAAGTGCACATGTGAAAATAATATAAAGATTTGGTATTAATTTGCTCTTCTTCACTGATGTGTTCATAATTTTAAGGGTCCACAAGAGAAGTGTTGTCACCTAGTAGAGACTGATGACCACCTGGTTCTCAGTTTTGGGGCAGTACCTAGGTGTGACTGTCAAGTCCCTGGTTTGGTTTTCAACTTATAAAGTTGGAGAATTCAATGTAGTAGTATGTTGAAGATGGTGGAGTTCTGATGCCAACGCCCACCAGAGACTGATGTATAAACCACTATGCCAGTTTGTCCATTTATAATAAGAGATGTAACTATTAAGTAGACCAAATAGCTGTATTTATGGATAACCATCTTTTTACCTTGCAGGTAAATATGTAGTGAGAACTGTATTATAATTAGAAGGGTCTTGGTGAGTAGGAAGTCCAGTGGAAGGCTCAGTGCTGATGAATCGTAATCACCATGTTAATCTACTGCCTTTTACTCTGCCACTGGGATAAGCCTGTTTGGAGTGGTGTTCTTGCCTTTAGGTAGGACTGGAAGAAATGTGTGACACATATTTTAGTCTGAACATATTTAAGGTTCTACATTTGTGCTTCTAAGCTTATAATTTACAGATTAACTTAAATCCATGCATTTTCTGTTGATATATTCAGTGTAAGTTTTAGGTTTGGGTTTTTTTAAAAAAATATAAATCACATTCCAGTTATGCTTGTGTCTGCTAGATTTCACATGGGTCATCTGAATAGAAAATTGGGTGATTTCTATATGTAGCAGATCATAATCATAGTTCTTTATTATTTGTTGTTTCTAATTTCATTTCCAGGGAGTAAAAATCCATATGTATTCAAGGGTGGCTGATGCTCATATGTAGGTTATATTGTCTGTATTTTCAGGAATTTACAAATGTACCCATATAGAAAAGAAAATAGTTTATATGTCAGGAAGACTTTTTAGACAGCTTCCTAAATGTTCTATTTAGATTATATGTGTATCATAATCTTTACCTCTTGTCCTATTTGAATAATATATATGTCATAATCTTTACTTCCAAGTAGAGGAAAAGGACTATTTAAAACAATTAAGCAAAGCAGCTATATGTTAGAATATTACATGTTATTATTGATGAGAATGGTGTAGTTAAGATGCTGAAATGAGGTGTCACAGTAGATGGACAGGTAAGTATTGGAAAACTTTCTAGAGGAGGAAGCGTTGAGACAGAATGATGAAAGATATATATAATAAAAGTAGTAGAAATCTATTTCTAATAAAAGCAACAGATGGATAATAAAAATGGAAGGGATCAGACGTTGCTGTCTGGACAGTTGGATGAGCCACCGCCTCCTTTTTTTTAAGGTTAGAAAAATGCATCTTTGCAGCATCTGTTTTATCTTGTCAGGAAGGAAGTGAGGGGCAGGTGCTGGTCCTGGGGGCCACAAATCGCCCTCATGCTTTGGATGCTGCACTCCGAAGACCTGGGCGGTTTGACAAAGAGATAGAGATTGGTGTTCCCACTGCCCAGGACCGGCTGGACATTCTCCAGAAGCTGCTTCAGAGGGTGCCGCATTTGCTCACTGGAGCTGAGCTGCTCCAGCTGGCCAACAGTGCTCACGGGTATGTTGGAGCCGACTTGCAAGCCCTGTGCAATGAGGCAGGTGAGTGTGGTTTGCTGCAGTGAGTCTACATTGAGGGATTTAACTCCAGTTTATTTACATGCTGCTAGTTTATAACTCATTTATTTCTGAAAGGAATGAGCCGTATTTTGTATGACTATAAGATTATGTATTTATTGAGAAAATCTAGATAATTCAGAAAATAAAAGAATTGAGAACCACTTCTCCTACTTCCTAAAGATAACCACTGTAATAACTTATCTAGATGGCCCTCCTTCCCCTCGGATTCAGCATCTGAGGCCTCAGCCAACCATGGTTTGAGAATACTTGAAAAAGCAAAAAATGATACAAATTTAAAAAATTCAGTGTAGCAACTACAGTTGACCCTTGGACAATGAGGGCTTGCATTGCGTGGATCCACTTATGGGCAGATGGTTTTCAATAAATATACTGAACTTTTTTTTGAGATTTGGGAAAATTTGAACTAATTTATTTATTGTAAGAATACAGTATGTGATCCATATAAAATACATTCTAGTCAACTGTTTATATTGTTGGCAAGGCTTCAAGACAACAGTAGACTAGTAGTAGCTAAGTTTTGGGAAAGTCAAGTGATACGTGGACTTCTGTCTGGATGGGTCAGTGCCCCTGACTCCCATGTTGTTCATGGGTTAACTAGATTCACATAGCACTTGTATTGCATTAAGTATACATGGTCTGGAGGTGACATAAATTGCTCAGAGAGTATGTGTGGGCTGCATGCAGAAGAAATTGAATTCTTGACTTGGGAATTTCGTTGTTTTAGTGTGCTTGTGGTGCTATAACAGAATACCACAAATTGGACACTTTTATAAAGAAAAGTACACCATTTTATTTATTTATTTATTTATTTTACTTGGAGTCTCTCTCTGTTGTCCAGACTGGAGTGCAGTGGCCGCTCCCGACCACTGCAGCCTCGACCTGTTGGGCTCTGGCGATCCTTCTGCCTCAGCCTTCCGAGTAGCTGGAATTACAGGCATGTGCTACCATGCCTGGCTGATTTTTTTGTATTTGTTGTAGACATGAGGTCTCGCCAAGTTGCCCAGTTGGATCTCGAACCCACGGGCTCAGGCAGTCCACTCACCTTAGCCTCCCAAAGTGCGCGATTACAGGCTGAGCCACCAAGCCCGACAGTACACCATTTTATATTGAACGTCCTTGGATTTTGGTTTGGGGGTGGGTCCTGGAACCAGTCCCCCATGGATACTGGGGGGCGACTCTACTAATTTTCCCTAAGTGCACACACACATGTATGCAAACGTATTTGGACATGTTGGTGACAGTATTGATGACAATATTTGTTGATATTGTGCCATGGAAATTAGGGAGAAGTGTCTGCAGGAGAATCACAGTTTTCTTTAAGGAGCAGCCTTATATTTGTTGAAGTACTGAAAAAGTACTCAGTGAAACCCAATAATTCTAGGCTGCAGAGTATGTGACAGTGATGTTTTGGCTCTGAAAATGTTTAAGTTGCCTTCTTGACTTTGAGAACTTTACAATGGCATAACTAGTTACTTTGGAAGCTCTTGAGAGCTTTTAATGTTTGTGCAGTTTCAGAGAAATGTATATGGAAAATTTTTCAAATCAGGGCAGTTTTTAGAAGCTGTTGAAATATTTGATCCAGCAAGTAAGAATTTATTGAAAAAAGTCTGATAGTCTTTTTTGTTGTTGTTTTTGTCCTGAGATGGTTTATTTTCTAGTAACCTTTAAAAGCTGAGCACACACCTCAAAGCATCACTGGTTTTTCAGTAATCTTAGGTTCTTTAAATTTATTCCCTTCTATTTGGGCAGATGTTACTAAGTCCTGTTATTCTTTGGAGAAATTTTTTTCCAGTTGTGGCATTTTGCCATTCCAATTTGTGATCCATTTAATGTTTTTTTATAAGGTACTTTAAAGAAAGCTTAACACTCACAGGTGACAGAAGACATTGAATTCTTGATCTGGCAATTTGGTCATTTCAGTATGTTGTGCTGCTATAACAGCATACCACAGATTGGATGCTTTTATAAAGAAAAGAGATTTACTTCTCACAGTTCTGGATGCTGGGAAGTGGCATTGTCAAGGTGCTGGCATCTGGCAGCTGCCTTCCTGCTGTGTCTTCCCACGGCAGGAGGCGAGGGGCAAGGGAAGCAAGAGCCAGCATGCAAGTGGGGAGGGGCTGACTCGCTGTGTAACAAGCTCAGTCTTGTAACGTACACACACTGTAGCAATAATCTGCTCACGATGATTAACGTCGCTTTGGACCCACGGCCTAGTTACTACTACCTCTTGATGGTCCCCCCTCTGATACCATCACAATGACAGCTCAATTTCGGCATGAGTTTTGGGAGGGACAATCAAACCATAGCAACAATTTTAGAGCTTTGGTTCAGGAATATGGTAACTTTTACCTCTAAATCATTGTTTCAGTTGTCTTATTGATGGATTGCTTGAGTTGGGATCTCACTTTGTCGTCCAGGCTGGAGTGCAGCGGCACATTCACAGCTCACTGTAGCTTCAACCTTCTGGGCTTAAGTGATCCACCCTCCTCAGCCTCCCGTGTATTTGGGACTACGGGCATGAGCCACCATGTCCAGCTAATTTTTTAATGTTTTAATTTCTCCCTATGTTGCCTAGACTGGTCTCGAGCTCCTGGGCTCAATCAGTCCTCTTGCCAGCCTCCCAAAGTGCTGCAATTAAAGGTGTGAGCCACCATGCTTGGCAGTTTTCTTAATCTAGTAGTCTTTGAAGACCCTGCCTTTAGTCCTTGCATCTTTTTTTATTTTTTATGTTTGAGTTGAGGTCTCACTCTGTTGCCCAGGCTGTGGCATGATCACGACTCACCACAGCCTTGACCTCCCAGGCCTTTGCCTCCAGTTAGCTGGGATCAGCCATGGCCACCACACCCTAATTTTTTTTGACTTTTTTGTAGTGGCTAGGTCTTGCTATGTTTCCTAGGCTGATCTTGAACTCTTGGGCTCAAGCATCCTCCCGCCTTGGCTTTCCTAAGGACTGGGATTACAAGTGAGATCTGCTGTGCCCGGCCTCCTTTCATCTTTTTTATTTGGCCTGATGTGTGTAGGAAAAGAGGTTAGGGAAGGAAAAACTGGTAGGAATGGAAAACTTGAAAGACCTATTTAGGTGTCTTTGACTGTTTTACTCTTGATAGTGAAACTCAGTTGTATTTCATTCTGTTTGATAATTAACCACAGTTTCCAGGTTAGAGACCTCACGTTGGGAGGCTGCAGGTTGTGCAGACTACCAAGGCAAGGGCATTCTTTTGGAACATTATGGTCTGGGACTAGGTCGCTTTCTGTCTTGTTTCTGTGTTTTTTTCTGGCTTCACAGGAAATGGTTGGCGGGCTCACAGAAGTGAATTCCCTAAGGATCTAGGAGCAGAGGTGACAGTAGAGAGCTTTGCTTTTTCATTGCGTTTTAGGTGACAACGAAGAGTCAGCATTACTGTGTGTATGTTCCTTTGGACTTGCTGCGGCATCCAGGCAAAGATTCAGTCTTCAGCATCTTTTAGCAGATTCTCACAAAACTTTCCAATACATTTCATGCACGTTTTATGCACATGGCTGTGGGATTCTTGCCGTACAAAAACATAGTCTGCTGAAGGAAAGAGATTTGTAAACAATTACTGATATGACGATAAAATACTCATGGAAAATGGAAAATAACTAAATAATAGCACATGGACTTTTTTCTGATTGGTATAAGGATTTAATGATTTAATTTTAGTCTTTGAAATTAAGGATAGGATCAGCTTATACAGTAGACAATATTGATCAGTATTGAGCTGATCTATTTTCCGCTAATCTAGCAATGGATCAGATTATGAGAATTAGTTTTAAAAAAGATCACTGTCCTAAATGTAGTATCCATTAGGGAAAATATATATGGTTTTGTGTATATGGTCCCAAACACTAATGTGTGCTGTTTTCTGTAGTCTCCCTTAACTTTATGTAGCAGGATTAAGTTTAAGAAGAAAATGCTAGAATCTTTGCAAGAAATTTTTCTCATGAGGCAGACTGGAACAGCAGAGAACAGGTTTTGTGAGTTAGACCTGCCGTTCAAGTCAGGGTTGTGCTCTTAGGCAAGTTCTATACCTTATCTGAGCCTTGATGTCTTCCATTTGTAAATGGAGGGGGTTGGAGCATGTGATGTTTTAGTGCCTTTGCAACTATGAAATTTCCTGGAGGTGAAGGAGAACAAGAAAGAAGTGGAAAGAGAGGGATAGGAAGAGTTAGAAAGAAAAAGGAGAGGGGAAGGGGCATAGCCAAGCGGCTCACCAAGCTCGTCCTGGCCTCACTAGTGGCCTTTCCGCTCCTCGTGGGCGTCTCCTTTGCACCTGTCTGAACTACTTACACTTAGGGAGTCAGTCAGGGCTCCTCGCCACAGTGTTCTTAGAAACGATGCGAAAAGTAGACTGATGTTGATTGTGGAGTGCACTGTGTTTTCCCATTGGAACAGGTTTCTACTGAAGACTTTGGGCACATTATACATTTGGTGAATGGTGTGACTGAGAAGGAAAGTGAGAACCACTGAAACTGAGCATTTAAAATGCCCCCAGTGCTGTGGAATGGGCTTCCGTATTTCCCACTCACTGAACACACAGGGCATGTCATGGACTGTGATGCATGCTCTGAGCAGAGGAAAAGATTATTTTGTATGGTAAACTTGAGCTACTCTCTTTGTTTTAAATACAAACAATTTAACATATAATGATGTATTCCACCTAGATTTAGTTATCAGAGGATAATTTGAGTGACTCTCGGTCTTTTAAATAAGTGCCTAGGCAGGTCTGAGCTCCTTGGGCTAATGGAAGCAGTCCCAGTCTTGACACTGACCTTAGAGTCACCCGCAGAGGTAGAATCACTATTTGCTTTTTGTGTTTTTTTTGAAAAGTCATGGTCGTATCTTAGTATTTCGAGGCCATATTTCTGGTGCATTTATAGGTACTTGATAAGTGTTTGATCAGTTGACGAAGTAGAATCTGAGAAGCATATGTGAAAGTTGA